GCACCTGCAGGCGGCCCTGTATTCAGGCGCAGTCACAGGACGGGAAACTGAGGCTGACTCTCAATCAGTAATTGGCCATCGCCGAGGTCCCTCCACTCACTGACGGGTAGAGACAAGCCTTAACAGCTACAAATCTCAGCTGCCGAGAAAAGGAATAACCAACACGCTTCAGAGGTAATTAGGTGTGTTGGCTTGTTTATTTTCATTTAATGGAGGAACAGGGAATTGAACCCAGGGCCTCATGCATGCTGAGCATGTGCTCTACCTGAGCTACAACCTCCCCCCAGGATAGGATTCTTAAAGGAATGAAGTATCCAGGAAAATTAAGGAAAATAATTATACCCTCCTATTAAACACCAAAGATGAGAACTATCACCTTAATGTTTCCATCACCCCTAAAAATCTGAAAAGGATCTTACACTCATAAACTCACCCAAATTATGGAAGTGATCTACAAGCTAAGTCTGGTTTACAAATGTTTTAATTGGCTTTCACAGTATCATTTTATAAAAAAAAAAAATCTTGACTGAGTTGCCTTAATGTACATTTCTGACCTTTCCTGAGAAGTCTGCACCACATCCCCACATGGCCACAGCTCTGCAGCTCATCATGCAGCCCTCCTGCCGCCACTTGCCAGCCGTACCAGCTCAGCCCCATGAGCCAATCTCTGGCTAAACTGTCAGAAGTCCACCAGGAAACTGAACATGGGAATGCTCCTTAATCCCAGTAACTAATCATCCAAAGGAGGGATGGTGTGTGAAAGTGTTATTGCAAATACAGCATGTTACACTGAGTTCACTGTAAGTTAAAAGGGGAAGTCTATTCAGGTAGTAAATTCTACAGCAGCACAGATTATACAGATCTACAGGGTCAGGGACCAAAGGAAAAGAGCTGGCATCAGTGTGGAGGAACAAATGCATGCTTCGAAGTCAGAGCCATCTAGACACATGCACGGTGGGTGATGACCGGCAGTGTGATCCCGTCCATGCTCTCCTGCAGGAGAGGGATGTATCCGCAGGCCGGGGCAACAACGGGGCAGATCACAGAGCAACAATCAGCGATCCTGGGTTCTAGTGCCCAGGCTGCCACCAACAGCAAGTGCTACCCTGGGCAAGTCAAGTCCAAGTCACTGCTTCCTCACCCTACAGAAAAATGAGGAAGGTCCTTTCTTCTAAAATTCTGTGATATCCAGTAATATCCCAGTCTGGAGGAACTGGGCCATATAAAAGTTACTAAGCTGATGACAACTGTCTGAGTGATCTGAGTCATTTGTCTAGTCTTGTATAAGTTCAGTAATCTGACCCAAATCCCCCCCATCTCCACCAAGTCACAACCCAGACTTTACACTAACAGAGGCTGTGGATGGGAACCTATGTTACACAGTGGGACTTAACAAGACACTGAGGTGTTAAAAATACTAAGGTCTTCAGAGGATATAAACAGATATTCTAAATTTTTTTTTTGAAGAGAAGAGAATCTCTCGTTTTGTATATTTTTTATAGTTGTCTTAGGCATTCACAAAAATAATGCCAACTCAAGGAAGACCTGGGCACTGCATCTTGTGGACTGTTGGGATATTTCAACAAATAGCAAGAGAATGCGGTTATTGAGTAAGAAAGTAGGTCTTGTAATATCGCAATGGTCTAGTTCCCACCCCACCAAGACATCTTCCCAAAGATGACATACAAATGGCCAAGAGGTACATGAAAAGGTGCTCAACATCACTAATTATTAGAAAAATGCAGATAAAAACTACCGTGAGACATCGCCTCACATCTGCTAGGATGGCCGTTATCAAGACAGGAGATAACAAGCGCTGGTGCAGCCACTGTGGGAAACAGCATGACAGTTCCTCAAGAAAATCACAGCTAGAACTTCCACATGGTCCAGCAATCCCACTTCTGGGCATAAATCCAAAGGAAAGGAAACCACTATCTCAAACAGCTGTCCATGTTCACTGCAGCATTATTTACAGTAAGACATGGAAATAACCAATGTATATATAGGTGGATGAATGGATAAAGAAAATATGGTGCACATGTACACTGGAATATTATTCAGTCACAAAAAAGGAAGGAAATCCTGCCATTTGTGACAACATGGATGAAACTTCAGGGCATTATGTTTAGTGAAATAAGCCAGAAAGACAAATACCATATGATAATCACTTTTATGTGGAATCTAAAAAAAAAGTCAAACTCATAGAAACAGAGGAGAATGGTGGTTGCCAAGGCTGGGGAGGGGGAACGGGAAGATGCCGGTCATAGGGCCCAAACCTCCAGGAACAGCTGTGACATGAGGAGGTTCAGGGAACCCAGTGTGCGGCATGGTGACTCAGGCACAACAATGGGTCACACACGTGCTAAGAGAAGGCTTGCCAGACACACAGCAGCAATGGTAATCACATGGGGAGGGATGTATGACTAACACTGTAGTGGCCGATCAGCAACACACACATGGTCAGACATACATATCACACACTTCAGACCCACACCCTCTAAAGTGTCCATCATACCTCAAAAGCTGGAGAAAATGACCCTGCCCCAAACACTTGCCTTGTGACATCGAGAGCCTTCTGAACTTTTGCTTGCACAGATCCGAGTAAATCTGCTCCCATTTTCTTAAGTAATTGTGTGAGAAGAACAAAAAGCCAGTCCTGCAAGTCATCCTTATGAATTATTATAAAATCCACAAGGGTCTCCAAAAACATACTGAAAACCTGGACACAAATGAAACCCAAAGATTTCACTTATTTAATTCATCATTTCCTCCAAATTTTCCAAAACAATAAAAATGCCCACATTGGCTTTGTCCAGACTCAGAACTTAGGTTAATTAACACTGTTAACAACAGGACACATAAAAGAAAACAGATAAAGGAGAAAGGACTGGGACTTACTCTCTGTTGTGAATTCCACCGCAAACCAGCCATGCAAGGAAACAGATTCCACGTTAGTCCAAAGTGAATTCATACCACGCTCATGCAGTTTCTTAAAAAGACCTGAAAAGGCTACAAACCGATAAAATACTCTCCCCTCCCCTACATGCCTTTAAAATTCAGTACAGAGAGAAATCAACTTCGCTGAAAAGTGTTAGTTTATTCCTGGAGGCCCGTCTTTCTTTCTTTCTTTAAAACTTAGCCATCATAATTCCATACTATTATTGCTCATTATCTAGCGTTCAACAAATACTATTACAGGATGAGAAAAACAAATTGTGTATACATGGATTTTCCTTTTCGATGCATTTACACCTACTATGATGTATGCCAATTCAGATGTTATAAAGTACTATCCTTATAAAAAGATACTATAAAAGCCGTACTAATCTTTACAAAAGATTGTGGCTTAGAATAGACACCGACAGGGGACACTCCTCTCACACTGCTGTGTACCCATCACTGCTGTCTGCGGGGGGCACAGTGCACAGTGGGCAGCCCTGAACCGACTTCAGAGGGAGAAGTGGCAGCACTTATCTTGGTTAACACATCTTGTTTCACTGGGACAACCCAGCATCACAAAGCTACTCAGTCCCAGCACAGCAACTATTAAGCACCAGGGGTCTCCCAGGAGACACCTCAGGAAAAAGTCTGTGACCAGCTGTGGGGTTCCTGGCTTGGCTTAAAAGCAGCTAGCAAATATTTACTAAACTGAGACCTCCAAACTCACTGTACAAGAGCCTTCTGACGGAAACAAATTTCCTTCTTTATCCTCACATTCTGGGTCTGAATCAGCAATCTAGAGGTGACAGGTAATAGAAATTTCATCAATGTCCAAAACCGTCTAATATCCCTTACGCTGTAAATCTTATGCTTTAAAATCTGATTGTGTTTTAACACGACCTTGGAGAAAATCTTGATAATTATATCTCTGGATATCTACATGGCCCTCGAATGCTACGTTTCTTGAATTTTATTAATATTGCTACTGTTAAGGTTGCTGTGAGGGTCGTAACAGGAACTTTAAGACACAACTCGAGACGGATACTGGGGAGAGCAGCTGCCCCAGCAGGGCCCTGCGTTCACTCTCCTGGCTGCCGAGCACCAGTGGCAGGCCCCAGGTGGGTGCGGGAAGTGCTGGGTGGGTCTGACAGCTCGGAGACAACTCCTACGGGAGTAGAGGGCAGGATGAGAGAGAGCATGTTCTCGGCCACACTTTCCGGCCACCACAGGTTCCTTCTCCCAGCAGGTCTCAGATAAGGCTAATTTTACTCAGAAAACTATGGCAGGCATTTAAGATTTGCTCATGCTGATTTAAGGTTCTCTCAATTTCTATAGTTTAGTTTCTGCCCTTTACCTACCCTTTAACTTTCCTGGTTCCTTTCCCTAAAACCATCTAATAGCCTCCAAAGGTTTCCCCTATGACAATGGTATTTATTTAAAATCCAGATCCCAAGTAAACTTCTGCCAAGGGTTCTGCCCCCAGTAAGGGCCATGTCCCTCACTTGTGGGTGTCCTCCCTCAGCAGGGGTCACTTGTCAGACAGGCAGCCCTCAGGCTCAGTGCTCCTCCTGGCCCTAGGAGGTGTGGGCATCGCCTAGCAAATTCTTAGAGGCCGCAATTCTATGTGGTTGCCCAATAAATTCATTTTATGAATACTTTCATTTTTCTACCTTGTCCTACAGAAACAAACTCTACATGGGATACAAAAAAAATTACAACCTTGATTATTTTCTTCACTACTGCAACTCTTATATTATAATACACTGTTACTTTCTAGCACCTAGCCCACTGTTTGGCGAACAGGAGGTACCCAAAATAGCTGCTGAGTGAACGAAAGACTACATCTGGGTCTCTACATGGTAACTCGTACTTGAAACACGTTATTTAACTTAAAGCTGTACAGACATTTGAAGTTTCTAAGAATTCCATTTTCAAAGGATGCAGCATACAGTACTGCTGAAATTGGTGTTAGACCTGTAAGGTTTCAGCTGCCCTGGGGGAATGACCTCGCACGCGTAAGCAGTATGGGACGCGGCTCACACGGACATGCAGGGGGTCATAAGCACACACAGTTCCCAAACCTTACCTTGCTGTGAGGGTCAGCAAACATTCGGGTGAAAATCTCACACAATCTTTTCAATTCTACTCGACTAGAGGAAATGAAATGGAAATAAACAAACTCAATATTTAATAAGTCAACACCGAAATGAGTTACAGCTTCTTTAAATCCTTTTATTTCAGTTAAGTACACAAGCTTTATGTAACTTTTATATCAAAGTTTTGTTCAAAAAAGATCAATTTAAATTTTAATTCATGATGAAATTAAAGAGGAATATAAAATAAGATGATAGTTTTGCTCTCATTTTAAAATGAACCTCAGAGAGTGATTACTAAGTTCATACCTGTGGGCGTGGCAAAGCCACAAGCCAAACCCCTCATGTCGTTTCAGGTCAGTTCCCACGGCCACGTTGAAAGGCAGTGGGGTAAAGTAGGACTGCCCATGGCTGGGGCCAGACAGACCTGCACTTTATCCTCAGTCCTGCCACAGCCAGTCCTCTGCTGCCTCTCTACCCAGTCCAGCAAGACACAGGGCCAGGGATTGGATGAAAGACGAACACCTCCTCCCTGCAGCCGCAGCTGGGACGACGCAGACACCCTGGTACCGGTGCCCCGGCTGCCTCGTCCTCAGCTGAACCCGAGTCCCACTTCCACGTCGAGGCTTGGTTAAAAAGTGTCACCTTCTTCCCCAGTCATCACCCCTCATCCACAAGAGACAGCTGGTTCAACGACCCTCTGACATTACAAATGACGAAATTTAGATCAGACCGATACTAATCAATAGATTTCTAGAGATTTTTCAACGGGTACTTGGTGGACGCTAAGAATCAAGAAAGTGGGGCCACCAGAATGAAGCAGGTTCTCGAAGAGTAATGATGGTAAGCCACCTTTGGTGTTTTCTGACAGATCACTAGAGCGTCAGAGGCGACCTGTGTTCCAGGAGTGACGACACCCTCAGGCACAGAGTGGAATCACCAGGGGGCTAAGGTGCAGGGGGCAGCAGGGCCAGGCTGCCTGGGCAGCGCGGTGATGCACAGAACCCACCCACGGCCACACTCATCCAGCCTCACAATGTATCTTTAAAAACAATTACCCAAAGAGTATAGTTTACTGCATTTCAAACATCTGTGTAACTTTTAAGATTCATCTGATAATCAATGACTTACTAGTACTGTCATGGTTCACTAAGCAGCCTTTCTTCTTAGTTATGAAATACTGGTGTGTTAATGGTGCCTCCGAGCTGCTGAAATATGGTAAGAATACATACTTTCCTGGTATGTGTAGTAACATGCTGGTTTTAGAAAACTGACGAAATATACAAAGAACAAAGCAAAAACAACCAGTTCTAGAGATAACACTGTTACTACTTTGGAGCCCTCCATTTCGGTGTCTCTTTACTCTGCATATTTATAAGCTACAGATACGCATACGGGTATCAAAAACTTCAGACCGACAGTGCTAGCTAGCATTTACTCGTGACCTATACCAACCTACAGAGTTGCTTTGTTTTTTACCTAAATGGGAAACTGTCCCAAAATTTCTCCAGTAACACTCACTGGGCAGACATGCACCGTAAGAGAATCACATGTTTCATAACCCTAAAAGGTCGCAGAGCATCTCCCAGATGCTCCCTGTTCTCCAGAGGCCAGGACCACGTCAGAGTCGCTGGCGAGGTCGCCCAGCAGGAACCGGCAGCCTGGGTCTCACCTCAGCGTCCGCTGGCTCTTCAGCAGGTTCTGCAGGCCCAGGAGCCCCTCCTTCCTCTCGGACCAGTTGGAACTGGCACAGTGGTTGAGCACCTCGGCCACGTCCTCCGTCTGCCGCAGGTAGTGGGGCACGCCGCCGTTCCTGGAGCCGTATGAGCGCTCCGAGCACACGCTCGAGGCGTCGCTGTTGGCGTCGTCATCTGAGTACATCCCATACGGCTCGTACCTCCTCCTCACCGGCTTCTTCTGCCAGACCCGAGGGGGGAGAATGGACAGGTGAGACCCCTGGGGGATAGCAACAGACCTGCAGGAGGCACACGCAGGCACGCGAGCATGCACACGGGGTGGGGGGCGAAGTGGCAGATCCGGCGGTGCGGGGCCGTGACGGGCGACCCGCAGGGAGGGTGAGGTGGCTCTGGACAGTGTGCAGCGGACTCCTCAGTGAGACAGACCAGTCAGGAGACCCAAAGCCTTCCGATCCTCCTGCTTCATTTCATTATGAAACAGCCCCCTCAAGGGCTAGTTGTGAGGGTTGCATGGATTATGTGCCAAATGACCTGGCGCCAAACCCAGCAAGGACGTGTACCCACCAGCCCTTCCCAGCCACAGGCCACGGTGCTGAGCATGGCCCACGCGCACGTGTTTGAATGTGCGTCCTTCTTTTACAGAGCCTAAAACTGCCACGGTAGTGGCAGAGTGCCCTATGTAAAAGGCTTCTTAACATTATGTGAACCGTTTTTACTAAGGACTTAAGAGTTTTGCAGCACAAACAGGCCCCCTGGACTATGATCCTTGCTTCACTCATTTCCCTGCATGTAAAACTGTAAGTGAGGCCCCTCGGTAGTACAGCAACAGCTATATCAAGTAGGTAAAGCCTATAAAACAGGATTTCTCTAAGAGAAAATAAATAGTTATTGGTTCAAGCCACGCAAATGTAATTTCCAAGACTGTGGCTTGTACACACATCGCAGCTTGCTCAGGACAGCTCCGGACAGCTCCGCAGCGTACCTACTGTCCCAGAAGGGTCGCTAACAGTACCTTCTCACTCTCAAAAGTATCCTTGTGAGGATGATAAATTATATGATCATCTTACTTACACATCAACTAGAGTCCTAAAATAAGAAAAATGCTGAATGTATCCATTCATGAAATAATGATGACATACGAGTAGACACAAACAAGGTTAATAAACAAAATGAAACACTAATGGGAAAAGGGGCAGGGATTGATATTAAAAAAACAATACCAGGACAAATGTGAGGTGACTGGCTCCAACACTAACAGAAGTGTCACTAGTTTCAACAAAATCACAATTCAGAACAGAATTTCTACACTATGCTATATTTTTTGTTGCTTTTTACTAGCTCCTAAAGGAAATATACTCACAACAGAAAAAAAAAGGTTGTAAAACAAAAGTTAAAGCACTGGTACCTTGCTCCTGGAGTCTCCTAACAGCTGTAGGCAGGAAAATATTGGAGGATGGGGAAAAAGCATAGAGAATTATGTCAGAAGCATATGTGGGGATTGTTCTTGCAACAAAAGTAAACAGCAAAACATATCTTAGCAAACCAAAAACATAGGTTAGCAAGCAATTCACATGAGCGAGTAATAAAGGAAGCGTTCCCACGGGCACGCCCTACAGCCTGCACCTCCTAAGAGACCTCGGTGCTACCCCTCCCCAGGGCACTGAGGTCCACCTCCACGGTCACCGTAAGCTCGGCAGCCCCGCCTACAACAGACTGCCCAGGATGCCCCTTCTGGAAAGCAAGGACTGCACGTTGTCTTCGGGGAGGGCGGCTCACAGACACCAGCGGTTTGGACAATAGGGGTTAGGGCAGCCCGAGCTCAGGGGAGCCCATGCCAAGGAAGCCGAAGTCCTCGAGTCCCACTGTGTCTTCTGCAACTCTGTACACAGCCCCTAAGGCGGCCCCCAAAGAACCGGGAGACCCCCCGTCGTAACCCGGAAGGGAGCGCCGTCCCACCGTGGCTTGTGCACTGTCACTGCCTACCCCCAGACTTCCACTTCCTAAGGGCTCAGAGTAAGGAAGAAATAGTTCTAACCGCTGACACTTGGAAGGAAAAACCGTTTCACAGAATTCTGCTCCAGCTCGTGACCCTGAAGTGAAATTATCCTGAACTCCAGCACCTGCCAGAAAAGAGCCTTTCTACACACCGGGCTGATGAGCAGAGCTGGCAGCCGCCCACGCGGGGAGGCACCAGGAGAGTGGAAAACCGCCTGCTCAGGGATGTCTGTCAGAGAAATCCGACAGCAAGAACAGGTGAGACAGAGCCAGGAAGGGGTCACAGTCAGTCACTGCAGCCACAGACTGTAACATTTTGATCAGACGAAAAAGGGCTGGATTTAAAACCTCAGGGTCTGAAAGCAGGATGTTATCATGCTTTTTTAATCAGAAGAGAAAAAAATCTTAAAACCGTACAAGCAAGGTCAGAGATCAGACAGCTCCAAAGAACGTCTGTTTTAAATGCTAAGCACAGAACCCAGAATATGCAAGAGGCTGTCTTACTACCAGCTGAAATGCATCTTGAAGAAGCAATCTGATCACAAGCAAGTCTCCTACGAACTTTTTGCTATAACCACAAATTTAAGGACCTCTGACTACTCAAATGGGTTTTTTAGAGATTACTTTATAATGATGCCAAAACAAATTCCAGGACTCACACCCTTGAAGAGTTCATCTTAAAACCTGGGAAAGTTTCCTCAAACAATGATTTAAGGACTCATTTAAACAAACCAGCATAAAATCATATCGAACAAGTAGCGAGGGTAATGGGATAAATGCGAGATTTTCAAGCCACATCCTCTGTTTCGTAACGTCACACAATGACACATCCAGGCTGTGCCAAGAAAGCCTGTAAGCAGTGAAGAGAAAGAAGGAAATGCTGGACAAAACATGGATAAAAAGGAAAACAAGAAGCCCAGTGACATCAGAACCTCCCTGACCCGGAGCGCAGAAGAAACACCTGGTGTGGATAATTTGTGTAAGGCTAATTTTCACTTACGTAGAGATAAAAGTTTAAGAAAGACTTCATAATATAAATTTACCCAATATTCACACAGCTTTAAAGAGTGTCAAGGATGATTTAATAACCTGAGTTGGAGGAAATTTCCTGTTAAGACAGAACACTGCAAGCGAGTCATCCAAAGAAGCTACATACTTCAAGACTCTTACCAAAGCGTCTGCGACGGCAGCTTCCAGATCCGTACTCGTGCTCAGAACTCGCAGGGCGTTCACAGAACTAGGAACTCTTCCTGCCTGGCCAAACCCAAATCGGTCTACATAAAAAACAGAAGCAGAAGATATGTCATTTTAATTCGAATTTTTCATTTCTTTGCAATGGCTCCTGCCCCAGCCCACCTGCTGGACAGAGGCACTGAACTGCCTCGAGCCAATTTTAATTCAACTACACTTGACCTCTAGTTTTACCTGTACTTGACCTGTTTTCCCGTGGCAGACAGCATCACACTGAATACTCATAGCACATCCTGATAATGAAGTAGTTTTTTAAAGGTGTTTTCTTTGTGAAAAGTGTGGAGACTGGGGGACGAGGGGCGGGGAGCAGGGGACTTATTATCGCAGGGAACTGGGCTACAAGTTGTCTCTGTTCATCTATTGGGTGTTCTCTCCAGAGGCAAGTGGCCCTGATGTTTGGTCAAATGAAACAGAAAGCTTCATGGTTTGTTAAATGAGCTCTAATACAATATACTAAAAAGTTAAAATTTGAAACAAATACATTAAATTGATCTCTGCAAATCTTCATTAGTATCACTACTGTTTAAATGTTATAAGCTCAATTAATTGTAGGTACTTGATCATGATGTGTCACCAAAGGTTTTTAAAAATCAATTTATTAAAAATCTGTAATCTTCATCATAAAAAAGTTAGTGTCTTCATGCAAAACATTAATCATTCAGATATTAATTAATATAAATTTTTCCTGAGTCCCTCAAAGGACTTTTAAATGACAATCTTTATACATGTAAGCAAAATGGATAGAATGAAGAAATTTCAAATAAATTTTAGCAGTTCAGACAAATATTCTAAGCTTGTCAACGATCATGGACAGTGAAGACTAACTTTTTAAAGTCCCATTAAGTGAGCTGACCAGCCTTCCTTAAGAAGTGCTGAGATTAACACCATACAGGAGAAATCAGGGTGAACTATACGTCACAAGTGCAACACTAATAACTGGTAAAAGATGCTTATTTAAAATGCTAACGTACAACAAACCTTTGGAAGACAAATGTTAAGATAAAAAATGCTCTCTCTTCGTTAACAAGTAAGACACTGTTTGGACAAGGAAAATCTCTATTAGCCATATTCTAGTAAAGAACCGTTTAGAAATGAAAGCTAGTATCTGCTTTACATGCATTGATCTTTCCTATAAAATGATGTATCTAAAATTTTAGGTACATAGTAAAACATAACCTACAAACTGGTGAACTCTCAAGTGTCTAAAGTGTTATTTAGCGTTTCTAAAATGTCAGTTTTGGAACATTATACCTTCCAGTGTCACAGAAAGGGAAACATTTTAAACACTGCTAATCAAAAAAGTTATATAGTCACAAATTTTTATAAACAAAAATTGTACGTTGTACTATCCCCTTTTTTAATGCACTTGATCACACTGAGTATCTTCAGTACATGTTTAAAAAGTAATTTAATGCACAATGTAAACTACGAAGTACACAAAACAATTATATCTATATGTATATAAATTATCAGTTGAAATAGGAAGCAGTTGTAAATTTGAGATTTATTATGCACATAGTTTTACAAATGATCTTTGTTCAACCTTTTCTTCCATTAAAAAAGGGTAGATAGTAAGGGATTTATGAGTAACAGAATGAAAGTAATTCTATTATAAGCCATTAAAAATTACCTAGCATAAACTTAAATAAAAACAGAACCTAAAAAAAAAATAAAAGAAAGAAAGAAGAAAAAGAAGATCTCATGCCAGCAATTCTTGCTCCAGGGATAATACTGATTTTTCAGACACAAAATTAAAACTGTAAGAACAAAACAATTATCCTGCGCTTTCCAGATGCACACAGCTTTGGAGAGGGGGAAAAAGTAGACTTGGGGTGGAAGATCTTGAGAGAGCTATGAAAAGAATGCTGTGAAGATTCGACTTTCTAGTCGGGGACGGCAGACCATGTGGTACATGTCATCGGTAAGTGGGCTTCAAATCTGAGGGGAAAGCATCTGCTGGGTCTTTGTTTTCCCAGGTAGGGGGCGCTCCACACCCTCACTGCTCTGGTGCTACTCGTGCTCCAGGAGGTGGACACACACGGCCGGCCCGTGTCTTCAGGGAAACTCCTCAAGGAGTATACACAATAATAAGACGCACAGGTGGCTTCATTGGAGGCAGAACAGAGAAACTAACTCAATAAACTGGTAGCTGTTACCACCTACATCTTTGAGTTAACAGTCTGGGCCTTACTCAGCTGATAAAACATGATGTGGAGAGCTGAGACGTCACTGCGTGCTGACTTCGGGCCCTGTGGAGAACCAGGGAATCCTGGTGATGTTCACATGGGGCTGAGACAGAGCTTCCCGCCTGCAGGTTGCAAAGGTGACCTCTGGCCTGACTTGATTATCCCAACCATGATTTGTTTTTCCATTAAAGTTGCAGGATAATCCATTTAGTGTTTTAGATATGAAATTATGTACGCTATAATTTGGGACATTTAGTAACAAAATAGTACCTCCAAATGACTAGAACCTGACCCTAGTAACTAGCATTAATAAACCCCCCTTGTTGGGAGCAAAGACTTCGGAGATGGCAGGCTCTGCTGGATGACACCCACACCCCACCACCCCACAGGACACTCATGATGCCAATCAGGGCTGTTTTTCTTGGGGAAGGGGAAAAGGAAGGGAAGAAGTACTTTCCCATCTTTCTGTTGGTTCAACATAAATACGAACACTGGAGAGGTGATGTTGCTAAGCAGGTGGTAGAGCACCTACAGCCTACAAACAGAGGCACCAACATTCAACAAGGTGAAACGTGGGAGCACACGGGGAGACAGACAGGGTGCACACATGCCAAGTGCGGCCGACACATGGGAGCCAGGGACAGGACTGCACGGGGGTGAGCGGCGGTCATGCAGGAGCACTGTTCACCTGGCTGCCCTGCAGAGTCAGCGGTGGGGAGGGCACTAGTGGACCTGGAATGGCGTCGAGAGGCTGCAGTGAAAGGAAGGGCAACACCCACAGGGTTAACACACGAGCACCAGACAGGAGACGCCACACCTGGAGGGAATTCCTGCTGCCAGCAAGGCCGCGTTTCCTCCCCAGAAGAAATGGTGTTGGACACGGATGGACAGCACATGCCAACCCCGACTCCGCGGCCGCCCCAAAGGCACTGCCCTCAGGGTCCCAGGCTCCAGTGACAGTCACGCCATGATGGGGATGTGCAACCCAGAGACCAGCAGGGGTCACAGGGCTGGCTTAGCCTTGGGGAGGGCTGGCGGCAGGACGGGCTGGAGGCAGGATGGCCTGTCACTCAGCTGGCAAGATGCTGGTACATGATGGTATGCCACCATGCGGCCGAGAGGGCGCGGATGTTCGTAAAGCTGTCTGAACGGGGATGGGGATCCACAAGAGGGTCCCTCATCAGTGACCTTGCTGTGTACCTGCCGCGGCTCCAGTTGTAGTCAGTCCGTGGCCTCCGTGCACGGGCACCTGCAGTGCTCAGGCTACGAGCACCGGCCCCGCCGTGCAACTGGGGCAAGTCCTGGCCTGACCAAAATGGGCCTCTGGGCAGAGGAGAGACTCCTGCGTCTCCGCTTCCTCACCTGTAGCCCCCACCTCTCAGGAGTTAAGGAGAATTAGAAGAGATTATACATTAAGCGTTTAAAACAGTGCTGGGCACAGAACAAACGGGGGCTAATGTTTAAGTGTGAATTCCAATTTACACTGAGACACTGAATATTCTTTTACCAGCAAGTACTCATCATAATCACATTAATTCATCAACCTAAGAACATACAGACTAAACTCCATCCTCAGGAGAAGAGAGTAATTTCTGGAGATAATTAGGAAATACAGACTTGGTTCAAAACAGGAATTTACTGACCAGAGTGCCTCACAATGTATGGTTTTTCTTTCCCTCAGGGAGAAAGCCCCAAAGATAACATGCTTCCATCATTACTCGGAAAGAGCTTGGTGGTCAAGTCAGAGGGAGGGGGTTTCGCAGCATTAACATCTGGCGATGCCCCTCTTCCCACCCTCCAGAGTACCGGGCCCAGCACAAACTGCTACACACAGTTATTTATTTAAGCTCATGTCTCTTTCTGAAACGTGCATAGCTGTGGAATAAGCGGCTTTAAACAGCTATGGTTAGCTGGTCAATAATGACAAATCTTCACCAGCATGCAAAAGGAAAAGAAAATAGGAAAAGAAAATTCCTAATTCCTCAAGGTGCACAAAAATAAACCAGCAAGCTCTGAGACCTACATATTATAAAATAATCACTTAAATAAGGAAACTGGTAAAATATTTTGTAAGACTGAACAGCCAACTATTCAATTACTGCACAAGCACAACAGTATTGTATCCTGATAGTGTAAACTAAAGCAGCGTTAAAGCAATACCTGATCTGAAGGTTCCTCATAAGGTCCGTCCTTCGGTTCTGTTTCAACAAATATTCTACAGCAAATCTGTCCTGCCCTGAGTCCTATGTCACGTTCTCAAGCAAACACCCAACAACGGAATCCAAGGTGGACCCACTTACACCCAGACCTGATTTACAGCCCTTAATTTCACCTAAAAGTTACCACTATAATCATTTAAATATGCATTCACACCATTAAAATGGCTCAAAACAATTTTGTAAGAGAAATACAAACTTAAACCCAATATACAGTCAGTGAAACATAATTACGCCCAGTCCTTTTCTTTTAAAAAGAGAAGGTTGGCTATGTAAACTGACTCCAGGGAGCGCTAGCATAAACTCTCACTGATTAATACGGGGTTGAGAAAGAGAAGTAAGTGAGAAAGTAAGAAAGGAAAATTCTGATTCTCCGAGGGGCCGGGAAGCTCCCCAAGGGGCAACGACCTTCTGGGATGTCTCTGTGATCCCCAGACCCAAGGCCACAACTAGGGACCATTGTCGAGCACCTGCTCTACACCCAAGCTCGGTGAGGCCTCTCATGAGGTGTCCAAGACGTCTTGGAGGAACAAGTGAGGCGGGGATGGGCCAGCCTTGATGTCAGCCCTGGGTGACTGACGGCGTGATGGGAGGATGGGCTGCCCTGCCATCTCGGTTTTGTCATCTGTAGAACAGGGATGAGGCTCCCCGACCCGGAGGGTGAACGGAAGCCACGGGGTGGTGGGCCTCCCAACTGCCCGGAACAGCACCAAAAATGCGAGTGCGGTGGCCACTCTCTTTGGACAAAGCTTAACAAACAGATTTAACCCCAAAGACAAAAAGGCCTGGTCTGAAAACTGAGCTGAGCAGGTGCTAACTCCTGCCCTGACCACACTGAAGACACGTGCTGATGGGGGGTTTGCTGGGAAGGGAAATGTCTGCGTCCACATCTCCGGCCTCGGTAGCAGCAATTACACATGTCAACGCTCAGGCTGTCACCAAGACTCTGCTCCAGGGGTTCCATGAAGCCCTCAAGATGCCTGGTCCACAGACCACACACTGGGCTGCAAAGGCCACTTCCAAGGACAATGACAGAAACAGCAGTGCATGAATGAAATAAAAACATTGAACTGCCTCTAAGAGACAAAATAGCCATGAACAGACTAACTGTTCACTTCTACTATTTGGAAGGTCAAATAGTGAACAAGGATGCACAGATACACAGCCTTAACTTAAAGGAAAAATCACCAGTTCACTCAAAAGAGAAGCATGTCTGCTGCCCTGATCTGGAGGGCTCTGAGCTAAGGCCTCAGGTGCAGTGCAGCAGCCGGCCCGGCCCCGCCGAGGCTCCAAGCTAATTTGGTCAAGTCTCACACAAGTGTCTTCCCACCCAGTCGAGTGACTTGTCCAGAGGCTCCTGCTCATTTACCCATTTTCCCAGAACTTCATACAGGACAACGGGTCATGAAGAACACAGTCTAGATTTTGATTACTGGTAGATCCTGGGGAGAAGAGTTTGACATTACAAGGCGAGAGAGGCAAACATCAAGGCCTCAGGCCTCTATTCTTCCATCGGGACATTTTTACACTGGAGAGACCAGTGACGTAATCAGAGTTCAAGCAACAGCTGCTGCAGCCAGGCCCCAGTTTCACACACAGACTTGGATTATTAAATGATTCCTACCAGCCACGCTCATCATGAGGAAAATACACAGCTGCCCAGCACTTAATATGCCAAAGAACTAGGACACAGTTACTGAAAAAACAAAACTTTCCGTGAAAGTTATCAGTTGACAGTTGATGTCTTTGGGGATTAATAATCTGCAATAAAAAGGTTTATTATATGTACATTTTAGAGAAACGCAGGACTATTAAAACTAAAAAGAAAAGGTAAAGTCAATATTCCATAAAGGATACGTTTCTCTTTCTGTCTTGTTTTTCTTGAATATTAGAAATTGTTAAAAATATGAATTCTGGCTGCAGGAAAACCCAAAAGGGATGGTACGTCGCGCCAGCAGCCCCAGCTGTCACCCAACTGGTGAGCTGAGATTCAGCACTTACAATAATACCTCATGGCCACCCAACATTGTAAGTTTTAGTCCTGGGATGGCAGGTCACAAACATTAACTGGCCTACTGAGCCCAGGAAGAACGAGAATCTCATTAATTATCAGAGGGCGTCACAGTTTTGTCCTGTGTTGTACACCTAAGCAGTTTATCAAAAAGCCATTTTTAGACTGCTTTAAAGAAAGCACTGAAATGGTTTGTTTAACCAAAGGCGAGCTCACATCCATCTGCTTGCTCCCGTAGTTATCTCCTGAAACTGAGCCGTTAAGTCTCCTTAATGTTGCCATGGTTTTTTGCCTTTTGTTTCTTTGAACTGAATCGCCTACAGCCTGACTACCAGTCAAAGAACAGGCTAGAGGCTGGAGAGCTCCACTCTTCAGCAGCGCTGTCTGTGGCCAAGCTCTGCGGGCTGCCTGGAGCCACAGTCCCAAGTGACGACCGTCCACAGTGAACTGGTGCTTTTTCCCTCTAACATGTAAAACTGGAACTGCCAAAATTCAGGCATGCAGAGGGGACAATGGAGGGCGACTAGGGCAGAGGGAGGCAGAAGAGGCTCATGGGACAGCGGAGAAGGGAAGCGGGCCGTCCCGCCAGCGGGCGCACAGGTGCGCAGGTGCGCGCAGGTGCGCGGGGCGCGCAGGGGCGGGGCTCTGGCGGGGGCGGCGCCTGCGCGTACTCACCGAGCGGAGGAAGCCCCGTGCAGGGCTGGTATCGCGGCTGCTCTCACGGCTGGTATCGCGGCTGCACCCCTGACTCATGCTGGGTCGAGGGATACGGCTGCTCCGCGCTAGTGTGCAGCATGAGGGGTTTCAGAGAAGGTGAACAAGTTTAATGGAGACAGAAAAACTCACAAAACGTCATCACATTCCGTTAATGTAACCACGACGCCCTCCACAACTATCCGGGCTGAGGCCTCACTGACCACGTGCCAGTGACAGGAGCAGTTTGGATAAAAACTCCATTATGCTCCCTCACAACCTGTGAATTTTAGTGTGAAGGTGAAATGACACCTAAATCTAAGAAATGAAAAAGAGGAAGCTTGCCAAAGAGCAAACTAGCATCAGAAAATACAAGACAAAAGTCTTCTAGAGATGGTCGGTTTATTACAGCTTAAGCAAACTTCTCCACAAGAGGATAAAAGACCACAGTCATTTTCATATGCACTGGGTTCTTAGATACTTTAATTTGGATTAAAAAACAGAACACAGGCTCTGGTCACTGAACTCTGAACTCACCTAATTAGAAGGTCACTTCCCCCAGCCTGGCCCTCTTCACAAAGAGAATTAGGACTCACACAGCCACACTGCCTCCTACTTCAAGTAAGTGTGTGGCTGCTTCAAACACAATTATCTAAGCCAACAGATACCAGAAATGGGGCTGCTGTTCCTTTATTTACTGGTGTTGACAATCATCCCTGCTTTTTCTATGGGAACCTAAAAAAGATCTGCCCGCCATCCCTACAAGGCCCCCCCGCTAGAACAGCCTTACACCAGGGTCTGCAGCGTGCAGACTGGTAATTCCACTATTTATGTTAAAAGATCCATCCGCTGACCTGAGAACAACCAATTACTTTATGATCATATGTGGATAACTTTTTATTATATTCACGTTACAGAACACTGAGAAGACAGAATCACATGAAACAGCCTAGGGTCTAATATAACCTGGCCATAAATGTCAGAAAAGACCACGATGCTCTCATTTTTCAATTTACTTTAAGAAAACCGACCATTTCACAAACTGAATCCATGTAGCCACTCACATCATAGCTGATGGGGACAATAAATATTTCCACCTCACTAGGATCTACTAATTCTGGACTGGAGAGAAATGTCTTTCTCAGAAATTTTGGAAAAAGCAGACTTGATTCACTGATGTAAAAAACAAACATTGCAATGAGTACAGCCTATGGTTTCAGAGCAAAGGCAGATTTATTATATGGTCAAACTGTAACAAGAATGTCTCATAATCAAGACCCTAAAACTCCCTGACAGAAGGATATGGAGGTAAAATCCAACCAACCCCCTATGGTCTCTGCTCAGTGCCAGAGGTGAATCTGACCCTAAAGGGACGTAGGCAACGTCCGCATGCTTAGGTCTGCACTAGCAAGCAAGGTAGGGTCAAGCGCAGGAACACCACTTGAGCTGTCAGTCCAAGCGGAGCCTCGTGTGGAGTTCTCTAGGAATCCCTAAATTCGCCTTCGTTGGCTAGAGTGACACGGAAGCACTGAGCTTTCACTCAAAGTGGCAGTGATGACCTAATCAGCAATTCCTGATAGCGTTCTCAACAGCTCCTACCACGAGGGCGAAATCAAACCCTCAAGACACCCGGAAGTATCACTGACCCCATCAATACACAGTAAGTTGCAAAAACCTACAAAGCAGTACTACGTATCCTCAGAGGATCAATGCCACACCTCACTTAGGAGGTGCCCTCTCCTGTCTCATACTAACTCACCAGTCCGGCCACCGAGCCTCCATGTAGGAAGGTTAGAAAGAGAGGGTCCCATCATTTAAATAAGAAAGGTACTGTGAGGTAAAGTGAAAAAGCAGGTCCTTCTGAGCTCCTTGCTGAAAGACATGCATGAAAATCTTGTCTTATTCCACTGCCCACTCCGAAACAATCAGGGGGAAGGTATAGCTCAGTGGTCAAGCGCTGCTTAGCATGCCTGAGGTCTTGGGTTCCATCCTCAGCACCTCCATTTAATAAATAAATAAATAAATAACCTAATTACCCCCCCAACAAACAAAAGTACACGAGGGAAAGATGTACACACATCACGTGTAGAGAAACAAAGACAAACAGATTGTCAGAAACAATGCAAGTAAGAATACAGTGGAATAATGTTTAAAATACTGAAAGAAAAAAAAACTTGTCAGCCTAGACTTCTATACCAAATGAAAATATCTTTCCAAAATGAAAATTTAAAAAGTTTAAAAACGTAACAAATGATCAATAAGTAATAAAAATACTCTTGATAGTTTTCACATGTGCACATGCTTGGTTGACCATTTTCTTATAGTTCTTGCCTAATTATTTCTGGGTCCGCACCTAGCTCTCCTTTCTTCCTTAAATTAATACACGTGTAGCAGGAATGGGAAATCTCTGCTGTCTCCCCAAGCTGAGCTTGCTCTGTGAGGACAGTAAAGAGCACGAGAAGGACTAAGCAGGTATGATCTAAAATAACAACCATCACAAATCCTATCTACCCTCCTAGGGTCTCACTCAGGGAGAGGTCACACACCCATCCGTGCAGAGGGCCCCTTTAGCATATGGCTAGTAAGAAAACCTAGAGAAAAATAATTGTTTATAGTTCTAATTGTCCCAAGCTTCATTAAAGTATATTTAGTGGTTATATCAACATTTAAATGTTGGATAATTTAAAATGCAAGACGAAAAAATACCCACTTACAACATGTCCAAAGACCCGTCTACAGGGAGGATTTAAAATAAGTATACAAAGACTAATCAATCAGGTGGTCAAAACTAAAACACAACAAATCAAATCAACCTGCCCCTTTGCAGAGGGCTGAAACCGAACACTCTGAGGATATGTTATGAAGGAGAAAGTGTAAGAGGAGGAAGACACGGCAAAAACAGACCTGCCGTTCGAACTGTTTAAAGACAGCATTCCTATGAGTCCTGGAGCCCTGGGCTTACACAGAACACGGGGAAGCCTTGAAAACATGACTGGTTTTCATTTCTTGAGCAACACTACCTTTATAGTGTTTTAAGGGAAATTCTGGCTCTTGTCTTTTAAGGAAGGGTCCTCCCAGAACTCACATCAGCAGCAGAGCACAAGAAGAAGAATGAAAACTCACAGCAGTTAAAGACATGGGGCATCTCTCTAGTCCAGACATTTTCACGTTTTGGTCTTGCACACAGTTGTCTAGTTTAACAGCTAAAATTGATTTTTTAAATTTTTTTGCAAAATATTTTTAACCAGTAAACCTGAGAATACTTTAAACACATATCCACAGAAGCTTAGGGGCAGAGAGCCTAATGTCTTCATGGCCTTTTCAACAGATGCGTTGGGAGAAGAAGGGAACCAAAGGCAAATTTCCAAAAAGAAACTGCTCAGATGTCAGCTATCCGTGTGACTGCATCGCAAGTCCCAGAACGAAGCCATGTATATACCATGTACACAGCTGTTCTCTCTGGTTGGACAGTTTATGAAGGGGTAACTGCTGGGAAAGCACCCAATGGCAGTGTTTTATTGTTTCCTGGGTGTTGAACAGGAATTACCTCTGTTTTGCTCAAGAAACCTTAAGTGCTAAATAGAAAGAGCTCTGACATTTTTTATCACAGATGAGATGGGAAGATTTAGTTAAGAAGTATTATTTCAAACAAAAAAAAAGGCATAGTTGAACCACACATAATTTGCAGATAACTAGTAATTAATTCTCAGTGCAAATTTCAAGCCTAGTTTAGCTGTGATTAAAACTATTAATTGGTTTGGGGATTACAGAAAATGTTCTCAAAAGATGCCCCTACTTTTTCTTGAATATTTATACGTAAAGTTGCTATACAATGAACCAGATGTTTAGACACACAGGCATATAGCCAGCATATACTAAACAGTAAGAGAAATACACAGTCTGTTACAGAAAAATGCAAGTATGCCTGGCAGGAAGAAGTGGAAAGATGTACTTCACTAATATATACGTATTTTATACCTGTGTATGTGTGTCCTCATAGTGTATCGAAATTTAGTATCTTCTTTAATCAGAACTGTATCTATGACCTCACAGCACCATCCATAACTCATCTTAATGAACATCAAGGAAACAACTTTCTTCAAAATAATGTTTCAAATAAGAACTCTTTGGAAGGGAACAGCTCCTACCTGCTTCTTACTGATGGACATTCCATGGTACCTCTTTTAAAGGCTTATTAAATGCTGTCTTTTCAACCACCCACACAGCACAGACTTCATCGTTAAAACCAGAGACGACCAGCTGCGAGGTCCTGGTTATGTAAGACAACCAAGGGTGGGTTACTTCCCAATTTCAAGACGAAGATAAAATGGCACCTTTAGTAAACATAAAACTAAAATCCTATAGAAAAGAATTTTTTAAAGCATGAAACTAATCTGGATTGCCAAGAAACATCCTATAAACTTAAACAATTAGCTGTGGGAAAGGACAGCTGAAACCTCAAACCTACATCTGAAATCTAATGCATTTTCCAGACAAAACCAGGTCCAAACACACACATGCTACAGCATCAAATCTGAAGTGTAGATATTCCGGTCATGACATTTTTTCTGGTTGTATCCATATTACTCACTACTGTCGGATCCAAATAAACTCATCAGAGCTCAGGGACCACGTTACATAATGCCAGCAGACAGTTGGCATCATGCAGAATTAACAAAACCACTGCCTGATTACGTCTCTCCCTTGCTTTGGAAACGCTGGTCAAACCAAATTCCGTTGATTCTACCTCTGGAGCACCGGCCCGTCTTCTCGTCGCTCAGGCAGCCTTCCAGGATCTCCATGAGCGGGGCACCCCCAGCTGCTCTGCCCTCGCCTCCCACACTACCCTGATGGGCTTCCTGCGCTATCAAGTGGACCAGCAGCTCCCCCGACCTGACCGCTTCTGCACAGGCTCCTCTTTACCCTAGAACATTTTTCTCATATCTCCCCACGCCACCTAAGGCTACCTCATACCTCATCCACACAGGACCTACACTGGGAAGGCTCCCCGAGCAGGACACCTGGGAGGACTGTGGCAGACAAGGGCCCTGAGGTGCTCCCTTCCTCCAGTACCAGAGCACCATCCCTGCCAGAATCTGTCGACAGTCTCACATCTTCACTTCTCCAACTACACCGCATTTTGGGGGGGGGGGCAGTAATTAGGTTTATTTAATTATGTATTTTTTAATGGAGGTGCTGGGGTTTGAACCCAGGACCCTGTGCATGCTGAGCACATGCTCTACCCCTGAGATGCAACACCCCCACCAGTTCTTCAAAGTCAGAAGTTAACTCTGTGGAGGTTACTCTCCCATCATAAGGTCTAACAATGTGGCTAGCATGTCGTAGTAGGCACTCAGGTAAGAGCTGCTGAGGAGATGAAAGAGTAAATGGGGAAGACAGGCCAACAGGACTGAAGAATACAGTACTCTGATTTCACACTGAAAGCAGGTGAAAATATACGTATAAACATAGATTTTTCATAATATATTACAAAAGACTTCTTTTTTATTTAAAAGGTAGCATACAAATGAAATTTTAATGAATGGCTGTTGAACTGCTGAGCATAATTCATATAATTCTACATACTATTACAAAGAAACTAAGTATTATAACACAAAGCAAACATTCCATGTATCTAGGTTTCCTCTATTCTATGCTTTTGTTTGAACAATATTATGTCAAAAGTAACTGTACATAATCTTTGACCATAAGTTTCACCAATAAGCTTAGAGAAAATCAAAATGAAAATAAATGTGGACCCTACAAATTGCTTTTGAAAATTTATATAGGTTAATGGCTATTTAGTGCTAATTAGTTGAAGAAAAATGAAAAACACCAGTCCCAGCTGTGAAGAATAAAATCCTGCCCATTCCCTCAAATTTTAATTGTTTGCAAAATGACCGTGAAATATAAAAGCCCACACCGATGTAATTCTTCCCCATCAGTTTGAAGACTGAAGACTGAACATGCCATGATCTGCAGAAAGAAGGCTGAAATGTCTTTTTAACACAAAGTGACATCCCCAATTCAAAAACAGATCTCAATTTCCAACAGCAGACAAAAGCATTAGATTATAATCCAAATTATGACCACGTGGGGAACGTGTTTCAGTCTTTGAGAAGCCTTACCTAGTCCTATTCGGTTTGGGCTTGTTTCCCGGCTACACCCCTGACTCCTGGGAATCTTGCTTCGTTTTTCAGAAGAGGGTGTCACCGGTGGGCCTCTCGAGGAGCCCCCAGCAAGGCCGCTGTAACCACTTCCCAACAATTTCCCTGGGGAACTTGATCGACTGCCAGCTAAAAATGAAGCAAAACAAAACTACATGATGGATGTCAGTCCAAGAATAAATTACAGTAATTTCAGAAGCCAGTTTATACATTACTTTTGATCAAATATTAAGAGAATTTTATATAAAAATAGCTTTCTAGTTGGTATTAGTGTCATTTTTTTAAACATAGGAGCATAAAAGAACATCAAAATATCATTAAAAATATTTATACGCTTTAAAATTACTGGAGGAATTCTACAAAAATGCAAAATTTCTGATTCAAAAGAACAGGCTCAGGTTGAGCAAAGCCTCCCTTGTTCCACAGCAAGTTTCTACAAACAATCACAAAGGCAACAAACTTTTATGAGAGACAAACAACATATGAAACAAAACAAAATAGAATAGAGTACTGGGAAAAAAAGATATTTGACACTGATTAAAGAATAACTGTCCTTACAGATAAAATAATCATGAAGCTTTATGCTCCAACTAACACAGCTTTGAGATATAAAACATAAAAATGATAAAAAATACAGAGGGAAACTGAAAAGGCCAGAATTATTAATATACCTCTCAGAAAGTCTAATTACTAGTGAAAGATTTCTGTACTACTTAGAAATTGACAGAGCATGCTGTCAAAATTATATAGATATGTATAAACATACCTCCTACATACACACACGTATAGTCCAGCAAACAGAATACACATTTTGTTCACATTTCCACACATGAATATTACAAAACCAACTGTGGACTAAGCCTCAAAGGAAATCTCAAAAACCTACAAAACTGGAAATTATATAGTACACATTCCCTGAGGTGTATGCAATAAAATTAGAAATTAAAAAGAAATAATACGATTAGTAATTTTTATAAATGGCTAAGAGGCTGGATACCTATACAACCATTTTTTTGTAGAACAAAATTCTCTCTTAAAAGAAAGCAATGAAATTTTAAGGAATATACCAATATACTTAAATGGCAGTTGTTAATTTAGAGAGATCATCTCACTAAGTAGAAAAGGCAGTAAAATCGCACATATCAAGTGCACATTATTACGTACTAGGATGAAATGGTCCAAAGGTAGAAACCTTTGAAATAACACTTACCTGGAAATTAAACACACAAACCCCTCCATCATTCAAATGAATCACTCGGTGACTACTTACAAACATTAGTATTTATAGTGACTGAACTACAATTTAAGTGAAATTCACTGTAAGAATTACCAGCACACACTGCCATGAGGAACCTGTCTCAGAATCTACTAATTTTGCCCATAAAATGAGTGCACAGGTAAACTATTAAGCTACATAAAAGGAGAAAAGAAATCCATTTCAAACTCTAGAATTTGAACATACAGGAAAAAAGCAGAAAGGTTAACTAAGCTCATTATAAAGAGAGAAATTAATATTGTGCAAGGAACATGGGGTGAGGGGGAATGCCCCCCGCCTCTTTAAAAAAAAAAGGCAATTAGCGAGACGGCTTACCACCAGCAGGGTTAGCAGATCTGGATCCTTGATTACGAGAGCGGACCAAGGACAGGCAAAAAGTGGATTAAGAGACAATAACACAATACAGAAGGTCAGCATGCAACACAGCACAAATGTCTTTGTTCACAAACACATTAGCAAAAGCGCTATTTTTCTAGGTTGTGCTCCTTCTGGTCTACCTTTGTACACATCATCTGTACTAGCATGTACTTCAGATCTGCCCGTGAGACATCTGAGGGCCTCCCACGTGCCAGACACAGTGGGTGCAGGGACGGCAGGACAGGCACCTCCAGCTCTGGGCGCAGGGACGGTGCCCACTGCGCAGGAGGTGCTCGGGAAAACACCAGCAGACTGAAAGACTGCTGCTAATGGTTTCATCTCAATGTCTTTTTTTTTTTTTTTTTGAGGGAATTTTTTTTTTTCATCTCAATGTCTTATGCCAGTTCTCAGATACTTAAATCCTCAACCATTTAAAAAAGGCCAGCTGTTAAGGGTCTTAAATCTAACAGTAATGAAATCTACTTACTGTTAAACTAGAAGTATGAATGCTAGTATGTCTAACATTTGTTAAAAAAAATATGTATTCACATTTACCTTCTATTAAAATAATTTTTAACAATATTGAATGTATACGCATATGGTTAAGGTCCAGGCTTGATCATTTGCTGCTGTTGTCTCCTTCTTGTGAGTGGAATTTGGTGAGTAAAGTGAAACTGAGGAGTTTTTAAGGTGGAGCCCTGAGGCAAGGTGCAGTATTTTTGTAAGACTGAGACATTAAGCCTCTATCACTCCCACCACAGGAGAACTGCAGTTTCACCATCTCTTAAGCAGAGGACCCAGCGTAGGGCGGGCCTGCTGAAGCCAAGGCCAATGAAGAGCAGACACAAAGAAACGTAAAACTCTGCTCAATCCTCCCTCCTCAGGAAAGGAAAGGAGCCCGTACAGTTCAAGGGTCAAAAAAACCCTTTTTTTTCCCAACTCAATTTCAACATACTGACCCATATTCAGAGTCTTGAACACTTTTGGTCAGGAAAATTTCTTTGCGATGAGACCTGACTCACGTGCACAAGCCATGACTGTGGCCCCGGGCATGACCCTCAAGGCGCCACAGACCCGGAGTCGGGACAGTATTCCCAAGGTGGGCGCCTCAGGACTCTCCCGGCACAGCCTCTGCTGTGTCACCCAGCAGCACACTGAAGGCACCGGCCTCTGCGTCAGACACGCCTGGGCTCTGCAGCCACACAGCAAGATGACAGGCCTGGCACTTTCCTTCTGGAAAGGCTGGAGCTTGTGAGGACGAGAGTTACCAGGGGGACATGGAGAATTCAGGCATTCTAGACGTCTCAGCGGGCACCTAAGGGCCGGCTGTAGACAGCTGGCTCCAGGGAAGTGGAGTCCTCCTCCGCCAGGTGGCCTCGCATGGGGGAACCTTGACCCCCAGCTCTCCCCACCACAAAGAGAAAGGAAGCAGGGGCCCCAAAGTCACACAGCCCTATGTAGTGGGGACATGAGACACCAGGTGACCTGAGAGTGACCTGGATGCATCTGTGTCCCTGGCTGCTCACACGGCCCACAGTGACAAATCAAGGGACAACATGTGTAGAGAAGCAGTGGCGGGAAGGAGGGCTGCTGGGCAAGGGCCACACTGGCAAGGAGGAAGGGCAGAACACAGATGTTCACGCAGCAGGTGCCAGAGAGCTGCTGATGGCTGTACTGGGCACCAATGGACAGAGCGCAACAGGTCAGCTCGCTAGCTCTGCTCTGAACCCTGGGCTCCCAGCGGCAGAGTGCAGCGCGGTGCAGCCCAGGGCGTTCAGAGCCCCACACATGGGTTTTCCCTCAAGTCGATGGGAATCCCATCAGCTTTTCAACTGCAGGATGGCTGTTGGATCAAACTAAGAAAACAGAGAACAAAAAATACACGTCTTACGCTGGGACTGTGAAACCACTTTGGCGCGGCTGCGGCCTCGACTGTCGGAGGGCGTGGCGGCGACGTTGGTGGCGCTCCCGGAGCTCTGCCGTCGCGTGCGGATCCGACCTGGAGACACAGCAAAGACGGTGCTTCCACAATGTCTTTAGGACGCACAGCCCACTCAAGAAAGCCACCCCGCCCTGAGCAAGGGGTGCCGAGTAACCTCCTTTGGGGAGCAGGTCTGCCCTCCGTGGTCCCGGCGCCCCCGTGCTCGCGGGTCGGGCAGACCCGACAGACAGGCCAGGAGCGCCCAGCCAGTCATGACCCTCAGCTGCTCCTGTGTCAGTTATTTTCGCACATTCTATTTTTAGGTGGGGAGGTGATAGCCATTTGACGGTTTGTTCCACAATTATGTTTTCAGATTATGTTCTCTCTCATTTACTATCTATAAACCTGTCAAATTTTCAAAAGCAGAAAATAGTAGCTGTCTTCTTATGAAAAATACTATAGAAAAAAAGAGTAAATGCAAAACCAAAACAAAACAAAGCAAAAATCCTTCTAAACTCAATAATTTAACAAAAGCCTACAGCACCCTGGACGTGTGTCTCGATGTGTAGCCTTGTTTTTTTTAAAGCACGTTTGCCAGCGAGTTTCTAGGCTGAAAAGATGGAGTTTATTAAAAGAATCAGTATTAGGAGGAACAATGACCTAAAAATCACGCAATGTCACAAGCATTTATTTGCCACTCTAAGTAAAGCAATCTGTTGACTCCAATTATTAAACCACGAGACTGTGAAAATAAAATGAATTCAATAAAAATGAATTCAAAAATGCAAAATCATTGATGGCAATCTTGATTAAAAATGAAACTTTTTAAAATTTTGCTTTCAAAGGGGCAGAAGATGCCCCACCTGCCAAAATTCAATCAAAATAGCAACCTGACTGGGACACACAAACCAATCTGAGCTCCACTGGCTTCCTACATTGTTCAAAAGCATGTCTCCCTCATGAGTGGGGAAGCTTCCAGAAAGACATTACAGAAAAACAAATCCCAAGGCTTGAAAAAGGCTCAAGAAAGGGAGTTAATAAAAGACAGCACTACATTAAAAAAAAATTAAAGCTAGAATCAATGACTTTTAATAGCAGCTGAATGACAGACATACAGATTCTAGACTCTATAATTAAGAGTATACCATATATCACACTATAAGCTGTGTACGTGTGAACTCAAAATTCTCACACCAACACAAAGTAATTACTCGTGTTTTACAGACGAGAAACAGAGAAACAAGGGGGCTGATCCGTGTGTCCAAGGTCACACTACTGGTGCGATCCGTGTGCCTGACTGACCTGCAAGTCTGAAAGCTCACTCTCCTGGGAAGGCACCCAGTGACATCAGGGCAGTCACCACAGCAGCGTGAACGTGAAGACACAACTCAACGTCTTATCTTACGTTTACTATAAAACATTCAGGTCACGGAATGGTCTTCTAAGGAAACAGCTAAAACAACAGAGTCTTTGCTGACCTGCCCGTGTTCTCCCTCCTCCCCCACTGTCTGGTGATATGATCCGAGACCCCTGCTCATCACCCCCTTGTGCCCTTATGTTTTTAATAAACATAGCTGCACAACCAGGAAACAGATGGCACTATTTTGTATTTTGAAGTCACATTACAGGGAATGTACTTTTCTACAACTTACTGTTTGGCTCAACATTTTATTTGTGAGGTTGCTGACAGCACTGATTTTTCAGCAGGAGGTAGAGAAGACCCATTTCACTTCTTCCACAAGACCAATGAAGGCCCACACAGATTCACCTCGCCCTCCTGGCTAACCTGCAAAGGCTGCTCCACCATCTGTGGAGCTTGGATGTTGCATCGCAGGCCTGCTTCTCAGCGGCCCTGTCTGCCCGGCAGCCCGCGTGTGCCCCCTGCAACCCGCGTGCCGGCTCAGCTCCGTGCAGCAGCACCCCCGCGGGTAGGGCAAATCAAGCCGCTTCTTTCTCAGGCCCTTCGCTCTCTTGCAGACGCATGTGAAGATACAACGAAAAAGTGTGCTGGAATTCTGACTGGCATTGTGCACTTTGGGCTTAACTTGGGGAGAAAAACAACTTTATGATACTGATCTTCCCATTCATCAGTGTTTTCTCTTTCACTTTCTCAAGGTCTGGCAATAAAGCATCATAATTTTTCCCAAAAAGTTCTATTCAATTTTCATAATTTTTTTCCCAAAATGCCTTATTTTATTACACACAATATAGTTTACTGTATTTTCTGACTTGTTGACAGGTAAGAATGTAACTCCTATACTTTGATTGTAACTCTAGGAACCTTGCCAAACTTTTACTTCTGCTCATTTGTATGTAGATTATTCAGCATTATCTAAATAGAACACCAAACTATCTACAAATAAGACTTCAAGTTTTCCCTTCAAGCTCTGCCTTTACCCTGCTATCTTGGACATGCAGTACCACACTAAAGGGAACCACGAGGGGCGTTGCTGCTGGCAGCCACGTTGTAAAACATAATTCTGGAATTCCACAAAAGTAGGTTTCAGTCAGTTAAGAAAAACTCCTTCCTAATTGCTAAGAATTTGTCAAAAGCGTTTGTGGAATTTTTAATGCTTTGCCTCCATCTTCTGAGACAAGAGGACCATTCCCCCAGGTGTGCTGAGTGTAATTACACGCTCACATCACCAAGTGTCCAATTCTGGCCCTCAAGCTGCGCACACCAATGAGGGAAGCACTCCCTCCCCAAGCATGTGGAGGACTGCAGTTGTCCAACGCCTCCCTCTAGGCGTGTGTGGCTGTCTGAGCACGGCAGGAATTTTTTTGATCTCTTTTCTATTTTGAGTAATTAATTAGCTTTTGTAGGGGGTGGAGTTTTAAGTACTGATTCAAATTATTTAGAATTGTCTTACAACTACTCAGGTTTCTTGTCCGTCTTGAAGAAACATTATTGTTTCTTCTAGAAATCTGTCCAACTTGTTTTAAATTTAACACAGAATTGTCAGTTTCCTCCTCCCCTTGATCCACACTTGTACCTGCTTTATCATTGTTAACAGATTATCTATACCTACTCTCTACTTCAATCCATCTTCCCAAAAGTTTGCCTATTTTATTAGTATTTTCAAAGAATATTTTATATTTCTTAGTCCTCTCTAGAGAATGTTCAATTCCTACTTCATTAACTTTTACTCTTACCTTTGTTATTTCCTTCCTACCCTTCCTTGGGTTTATTCTGTTCTTTTTCTAAAACATTAGAAACTAATTCAGCCTCTCTTCTGATACAAATTTAGGGCCATGAATTTCCCTCTGAGCACTGCTTCTGCTTCATTCCACGAGGATTAACATGTAGTTCAACATACTGCGCTGCTTTTTTAAAGATACACTACAGGATCTCATTTGCTAATGTTGTTTTGGAAAAATTAGTTCCACACTTCCCACTTTACAACAAGAAAAACAGCCAATGGACCTAAGATTAAAATGTCAAATATGAAACCATAAAAGTTCTAAAAAAGGGGGGGGGTACTTCCTTTGTAACCTGTAGTGAAAAGGCCATTCTAACTATGACAAACCTAAAAGCCATTAGAAAAGATTGATAAATTAGACTACTTTTTTTCTCAAGATGGTAGAAAAGAAAGCTATACGCAAATTCAAGGAAATGACAAACTGGGAAAAATTAT